CAGAGGGTCTGGGGAAAGGGAGGATCAAGCCTGAGACTAGCAGCCTTACTTACTCTTTGACTTTAATTTTGAAAGAGGTGTAAGCTCTCCAAGCTATTAGACACCTTCAAATAGTACTGATGTTGGGGAAATTCCATGAAAATATACATAAACAACACATTTTTTCTGTAATTATAGAGGCTGGGCTATGTGACCCTCCTGTATGCCCTAGTGGTGCCTTATTAACTGCCTAAACACACACAGCATTAAGGCACTCTTTAATTTGACCTAGAGTGAACCCTTAACCAATCTGTTTTCTTCACAACGCTGTTCACTAATAATTTTTTTATCACCTGTAAAGAATCTTAGGCTGGTCATGTTAACTGCAGTCAATGCAGAGAAACCTTTCCATTAGCTTTTACAGACCAAGATCTGATCCACATGTTTTGTGAGGAAAATGCAATGCTCTGCTCAGTGACAGATAATATTATGCACATATATTTAAACAAGATGGATTTTAATTTGACCAAGTCTAAAAATAAGCCTCTAATACCTCCTAATTTAAAATCAGACTTGGGAGAAAACACTGCTGTCCCTCTATAGGGCTACCAGTGTCAGGAAACAGAGTTCCCTTCTCCCTTTAGGATCATCCTCCACACATCAGCTGACCTCTGTGACTCTCCTTGTGAGAAGAAAGCCCTTCTGCAAATGACCAAATTCTTGCTTTCGATACCACGAGCAGATTTTGAACCACAGTTTGAGCTCCTGCCACAGCATGAAAAATTTCTGCCTTCTCAGACGTGCAGAGGGCATGGTGGTCAGGGAGAAACAGGATTGTGCTGTGAGGTCCCTAGCAGTGAGCACCCTCGGGCCATGGGTGTTTCCTATGGTGGCAGCATCGCTGGCTGGTGGGATACACCTGGGTCATGCTCCCCATGGATAAAAGTACAGGTAGAGAAAGAGCCTGCTCAATTCATATGGGCCGTGCATCTGACCTATTTTGTGCTCTGCTCACTCAGCTACAGATCCAGATCAAGTCTGCAATAAGATGCCTTGAGTTAAACATGAAAATACCTTCCTTTAAAAGAAAAAGGAGCTGGCCTGGAAATGCAGCTGATGCCAAGCTGAGGCTCCGTTCCTGTATGCTTATTTATGAGCTTTGGACTGATTTCTCTGAGTTTCTTTTTGCAACATGAACTGGAATTCTGACTGAGGCTGAGCCTAAGGCACAGTTGTGTTGAATGAGGAGCTACCCAGTTGTATCCAACTTTACCCCATTGTACGCTCTGGCAGTTACATCAGAAGTTCGTGTCTGTAACTGAACCTGCTCTTTCTTATACTTAGCCTTCTCTTCCATAGGACACGTGGAGGATCACTGTCTTGCTTCTCATAGTGAGCAGATGATGTGCAGGTGTACCCTGGACTATTCAACTCTGCTGGAAGAATACACCAGTACAGAAAAGAGCCCTATATAACTTTAATTTGTCGGCATCTCTTTCTCCTACACCTATTTCCTGGTACAGTATTTTTAGATATTAGTAAGCCTGCAGTGCAGGATAAACTGCATTTTTTTTGCTGTGACATTCTAAATACCTTGTGTGGAAACATTTGCTGTGTAGAAGTTTTGAATTTCAAAAGTGTTAAGTTGAACAATTTCCATTTCCAATACAGTCTATGGTAGATGAAGGTATGTTCAGGAAAAAGAATACTTTCACATTCAAATTAAAGCATAGAACTTTTAAAGATCAAAGTAAGGCTGGCTATTTTGATTTGTTTTTTAGTGGAATTAGAAAATTAACATGTGAAGAAAATAATGTAAATGACGTGTAAATTATGTCATAGAGTATCTTAGAAAATGTAATTTTTATCACTGAATCAAACTGGCAGAAAAATGAAGACTTATTACTAGGATTTTTCAGAGAACCTTTGTGGTGGATAGAAAGCAAAAAGTAAATACTAAAGTAATTTATGTAATTGCAGCGAGTTGTTTAGTCAGGTGCAGCAGGGACCATTGTTAGAACTTGTTTTACAAGCATTTAATATTTTCATTAATAATCTGAAAGAAAGGGTTCATAGCATGCTAATTAAATGAAGAGATAATTCTAAATTGAAAGAAGTCACAAAGCATCAATGAGGACTGAAACATAATGCAACAGGATTGAAAAGGTTAGAAAAAATAAGGAAGAGAAAATGAGATTCAAACTTGGAAATGTGCTGTCAGTGGTATCTGAATAAAAACTCCTCTATACAAGGGAGAAGTGAGTGAGAAACCATCAGAGCAATAACTCTGAAAGAATAAATGAACTGGATATTGGTTGGCATGTGATGCAGAGGCTGCAAAGACTACTTTGATTCTCAGCTACTTGTGAAAAAGCCTGTCCCTTGGAAAGCTTACAGTGACTTTTAAGATTTCAAGGATGGAAAGAGTCTCACGCATTCATGTACGAGGAGAAAATTAAGAGGGTTAAACTCAAGATCAGGCAAATGGCAAGTGAGTTTGCACTTAAAAAAAAATACACGTATTTGAAGAATATTATAAAGACCAGGATAAAACTAAGACTAGAAATTTGAATCTGGTAGAAAGTCGTCAGAAGAAAAGAACTAACATGATCTGGGGTACTCAAAGCAACAGTTCAGTGTATCACTAGACAAGGTAGTATAAAGAAATTTCTATCAGGCATGAGGATCAATGCACTATAACTTTTCCATCTTCTATATATTCTCTCTGATTTCATCTAACAGCTAAGGTAGTAACTTCTATTTAACATCAGTTAAGCTTATTCCTAAATCTCACTGGGGTGAGTAACATACAATGCTGCAATGAAATTCAAGCACGCTGTAATATGAAATCAATACATCCCGATGCTTAGAGTTTTCCTGCTTTGACTGCAGGGCTGCAGCTTTACAGATGGTCCAACAATCCACTGCAGCATTAAGAGGCTTTTTCTGTTTGTTTTTAAACACTGAAAATATCATTCGTCTAATCCTAATATTTTATGGTACATCTCTTCCAGTTTTTCAGTTGCATTCTCTCTCACTAACACCCTTATCTCTCTGCTGTAGGTGCCACAAATGACGTACAGCAGTACTTTGGTAAAATCCTAGCAATTTAGGAGCCCTGGTTTTGATTTCAAAAGGAGGAGAGGTAAATCTCAGCACCTGAATTTTGTAGTCATGTCAGACAGGCCCTCTGCTGTGTCCTGCTCCCTGTGGTCTGCGGTTTTCCCTGCTTTGTGTGCTCCAGGAGGGGAATACTGTCAGATGACACTGAGTATGAAAGACTGGAAAATGTGGAGTGAGTTTAGAGCTGGCTGGTTGAGGGCTAAGAGAGTAACAAAATGGGTGAAAATTAAAGGATGATGCATTATTTCTAAGTGATCCTGCAAGAAATTAAAGTTAAATGATTCTCTAAAGGTCCACAAGTCAAAAGATCCCACTGACTTCCGTGGGATCCTGCAGCCACTAAGGACATAGTCCCATGGCCACATGGTCATTTCTGTAACCGAGCACGAACCCTAATTCACGGTACAGGGTGCTGCAGGGAAACAGCTCTTACGGCTGTTTAAATTGTCTCTCGGCTGGTTTGGAGCACTGTGAACCACTGTTGCAGGACTGAGGTTTGCACCAGCCACACGTGACTAATAGTCATCATACGGCCACAGGAGCCAAGAGGGAAGCTGGAGCAGATGTTCCTCACTAATCCTCTGTGCAGCTGTGCTGCGGGTGTAGGACTTCACTGGACAGCAGCCTAGGCTGAGCATGGCAACAAAGCACGTCCCACTAAACAGCGTGGCAGGAAAGCGTAACTTTGCTCCTGAGCAATTCTCAGCTGAAGCACACAAGTTGTTACATGGCTTCTTGCATGTCAGCATGCACGGGCAGAAGCTACAGATTTGACCTGCACCTTCATCTTTTTATGAGACAATAATACCTACCTGAACCCTTTCTGTAACATATATCGAGTGCATGCCACATCTCCCGGGCCCTCAGTAGGTCTGAGTACACACGTAAATTTACACATCTCTGTGTACATCCATGAGGCAGCAAGGTCAGGCCAGAACTATAGAGGATTTCTATGATGTGGCATTAATTAATTTGTTACGGGTGCTCTTGAATACCATCTTTTTTTCTTTTCCTTCTTCTTTCATTTTAATTAAATTCCATTAACGATGTGTTACCCTTTGATTATATTCTCAACCACAACTGACTCAGCATACTTCACTTGTTGAGGTGGGAAGTACCTAATTAGGATGCCAATCTTCTTTCATGTTACTTGTTCATAATAGAAGTACTACTTCCAGTTATGCTGGAGAGGTACAACTAAAGGCATTAGATGAACAGAAATCCTCCTTAGAGCAGAATCACCGTTAGCTATTGCCTTTCAAACCGTCTCATCTCACAGAGAGGTCTCATTGCTACTTTTCAAAGAAGAAATCAAGGGACAGGTTCTCCAAGGCAATCAAGCAGAGGAACAGGTGTATCCATGCAACTACATTCAGAGTTTGTGCACCTCACAAATTCAGTCAACTTGCTCTGCATGTACAACCACGCACCAGAAGTAGCGTGCTGCTGCTTTTTGACAATAAGTACCATAGAATTAACTGCCACGGGGATTCTGGGTGTTGACAAGAATACGGATGGCTGGCTGAAGCGATCATTTAACCCTGCTAGTAATGAGCTCATTTGAAACAAGCTCCCTGCTACTAATTATCACTTGGTTCTGATTGATTCATCACCTGTTTTGGTGTTCCTATTCCATAAACAGAAAATGAACTGCTGAGTTTAAAAACTCCATAATTTTAGATCTTGGTAAAAACAGAACTGTCTCAGTATTGTGTCAATTACTGCCAGACTGATATTCTTTCTTTTCCTCCCCGTGTATGTGTGCACATACACACATGTGGACATGTAATTATTGTGTACCTCTGTATGGAATGCCTATATGATATTTTAATAAAGACAGTATTGCTATCTAGCTTATTAGACACAGATTACACTAGAGGAATAAGAATTGTCCTTACCTATTTCAGTCATGGATATCCCCGGAGCTAGTTGCCCATTGTTGAAGGAGCTATAGGTAAACAAGTTTGGTACAGAGGTGAGGTCATAGATAGGTTCCTGCTTTATCTGTTTGATTCCAGTCATGTCTAACCCAGACTGGTCTGGGGAAGGCTGGGCAGAATCCACGTTATAGTAACCCTCAGACTTCGGCAGGTCGATGACATGCCCGTTTGAGTAGGTGCTGCCAGTTTCGTTATTCAGGTTGCTCAAGCCATTGCTGATGCTGTTGCTGTAAACCCTGGCGAGGGCTTCTGCCTCACCGCTCTGCTGCTGCCGTTGTTCCTGCAGTCGCTGTTGGTGCTTCTGCACCTCAGCATACAAGCTATCTCTCTGCTTTTTGGACATTCTTCCAAACTTCACAGCTGAAAAACAAAGCATGATGCAAACCATTGCTGTCTTTCATTTTTTCTTGATTACCATCAAACCCACCATTCTTTTGATATTTATTTTCAGCAGTATGTTTGCTGTAGAAACTTGTCTTTTTTTCTGTGGAAATGAGAGAGGATGCAAAGCTTTACACCACATGCATCTCACAAAGGAAAAAGTATTGTGTGCTTGGATTTACAAGGTGACAACAATGACTCCTATTTGACAGGAGGGCCTCAGTCAAGCAACTCACTTCCCACTCTGAATATTAAAAAGACCATGCAACCTTTTATATCTCTGTGTTCACTGAGCAACAACACAGAGCTGTATGAAATGTACAGTCTGTAGATTCATATCCCGTGTGATTTACCAACTTTCCACAAACCTTTAAACAGTGCACTAACAGGATTAGTACTCTGGATGAAAACAAGCCCTAAAGCCTTATTATCACATCCTTTCAATGGGGTGTTATCTTCACACTTTAAAAAGAAAAAATCTTACAGGTTAGAGTTAGAACCTAGAGGAAAATAACAGATTTGAAGGTAAACAGCACGAATGAATGTCATCTTTTCCACAGAGGAAAGTCTCAGGGATTTACACAATCAATTTACATAATCTCCATGCACAAATCCATGCATTTCTTCTGATGAGAAAGGGAGGAAAACAGCGTGCAAACCAGAGTGCAAACCACTCTCCTCAGGAACAGGGTCTGTTACACTGAGATTGAGATTTTCAAAAATGACAGGCTGATTGCTGTGGCACCAGGAGGAGTAAATCCACAGCCTGCATATACAGTGGGTCATACTTGATTATATCCCTCCTCTCCATCTCTCTGTAAATTCAGGCTTTCTACTGGACTAGATCTTGGGATCTCAGAGCAGAGCTAGGTATTAATTGTGCTCTAAAAGAAATGAGGGGTACATTCAGCAGAATTTATCAGGGCAGAGATAAGAGGACATAGCTCTGGAAATACTAATTTCTTCGTATTATGGAGTGTATTTTCCAATGCTATTTCCTGTCCATCTGTAATTGGGAGCTGTCCAGAATCATCACAGTTATCAGCACAGAATGGGCTTGGGTCTCATTTTTGCTATCCCATAGTCCAGTTACAGCCCTTGAGAAGAGTCTGAGCTTACACACGTGAATGAACGTGAAAATCTTCTGTCAGGAAAAAGAACAGAAGGGGAAGAACATAATATGAAAAGGCAGTGCCAGAACACCAAGAAGATGGTAGCCTCTTCAATTTATTTGCACTTTTTTACACGAGGAGTATTTTTTTCTTGTGGCCAGCCTCAGCTTACTTGCAGCCCTTCACACAGGCTGCAAGCTACCGCACACGAGCACAGCCTGCCCCTGGAATCAGTCCACAGTGCAATACACACCCTTACGGACAATCTAAAATGACTGTATTTTGAAAAATGCAACTGTGTATTTTCTTTAAATTTAGGGCTTCAGTAATAAAAACAAACACCCACTGTTTATTCTCATTATATATTCATTAATTGGATTCTCCAGCTGCTGTCAATTAGCATCCTGCCTCTGCATGATAAAAATGAATCTGTTACATGGCTGAGAGGTAAAAATCACATTCAATTTCTCTGTTAAAAAAATCCATACAGCCTTGCAAGAGCTCTTGATATCGTTAAGTATAAACACCCTTACATAAACAATGAGAGAAGAAAGAGATGCTGTCAGAAAAATCACTCCCTTTGTCTGTATGCCGTGGACCCTGAATTACAGGTTGGGAAGACAGTGCTGTCAGTCACATTACAATACCCCTGTGATACCTGAAATCATTGGAAGATAGAACTTTTAGAAGGGAGGCATGGCACGTGCTGTTTGATTACTGAAATGCAACTATTTTAATCACACCAAGGTAGGAAAACCCCTATTACAGTCCAAATTTAAAACAGGTTTACAATCTGTGCACCATCTAAAGTGGATTCTCCATCAACGACTCTTAATTTCAAATGACACATTTTGTGTAAACTTTCTAAGACAGAAAGCTGCTGCCAGGCAATCAAAACTAGTATGTGTCTCCAACAACAGAACATTTTCTTCTTATGCTTCCTGACCACTTAAAACGTGCCTGTGAGCTGGAAACCCCTGCATGAGCAGTGGTGACTAGACGAAGTCGGCTGTGGGCAGCCTTGCCCAAGCCTCTCGTGGCCTGAAGCTCTGGCGTGATGCACGTTCTCAGCCTGCTGATCACAGCTTGGAAGGTGGACCCCAGCTCTGCAAGGACCAAAGATTTCTGCTATCGGATGCACTGAGGAGCTTTCCTCTGGCGTAGTGTCCATTTTCAGTGCTAAACTATGAAATGTTTCTTCTACAAACCCAGACAGGGACACAGGGCAAACATACAGGTAAAATAAATGTTTTTTAGCAACACGAAACATTTGGTTAAGTGCTCTGAATAAAAGAGAAAACCCTCATGATCTCAAGGTGTAAATTTTTTCTTAACTGCCTATCTACTGTCACAGACCTTCAGAGATCTCAAGGAAAGGGATGCTTTCACTCATCAATATTTAATGTTAAGGTAAATGTTAATGTTTAATATAAGAGGTTATCTAAACTGGAATACAAATCCACCTCTCCAAAGGTGACCTTTTTGTGCTTTTGAACAGAACAACATATTTCACTTCTGACTCTTTCTGCTCCAAACTAATACTGCTCTCCATCTTGTGATTTACCCACCCTCTCCATGAAAATAGCCTCCTTTGTTAACTGAATGGCAAAGATCCCTATCTCACAGTTCGTGCATTACAAAGCAAGGAGCTTCTCCTCTCTTTTTCCAGAAATCTACAGGGAGTTTAAGTAAGTCAGCAGTGAAGAAGAGTTTCAAAGGGTTTAAGTGTGAAGAGGGAATCTGACTCCTTACCATCTCGAGACATTCCCAGGGCAAGACATTTCTGCAGTCGGCAGTGTTGGCAACGATTTCTGTTGGTTCTGTCAATTAAACAGTTTCTCTGCCTTGGGCAGGAGTAGGAGGCATTGTTCTGCTGACTCCTCCGAAAGAATCCCTAGGGGCAAGAGAGCAAGAGAGACAGAGTATTACCATGTGCATATATGTGAGCGTGCACACACAGACAGGGCCATGTAAACGACTACAATAAACTCTTACTTATTAGTGCAGTGCTACTCATGCTATTGCTTTGCAGATGCTTGGCCTTGTATAGTGTAATTAAAGAACATTTACTTATAATAAAGAGAACTGTGCTTTATTCTGTAAAGAATGCACTTTGTCAAAACACAAACAATAATGTTACGCAATGCATTCCTATTGTGTCATAACGTCCATGTATCATCTAATGCTTGCTCCCAATGCAGGAAAAACTTGTCAGCGTTTGTAAACAGCTGACTTAAAAGTACTTGTTCTGACTATTTTCTTCCTTTAATGAAAGAGACTCGTAATAACCAGCACTGTCTATGCATAGCATTAGAAGCTGAAGTCTGCTGTTCTTTTTAACCTGGCAAATGTTGATCTGATCTGGAGGGACCATACACTTCAGGAGTGAAAAGTAATTCAAATTCAAGCATCACAAAAGCACTAGGATTTAATGACTGTATCAAGTAAAGCCAACACACAAAGAAGAAAGCAACACCTTTAGACACTACCATGAGAAACTAATGACATTTTCCATTTCAATGGCATATAACATTATCCATTTTATCTATGTAAAAATTCGTAGTTACTCTATCTCCTAGAAGGTTTTTCTGGCCAATTGTGGCTATTTGGCTAAAGATCAGAGGGCTAGAAGGAGACTATTAACCCATACCTAAGGCCTTAGGAACGTCCAGCTCATAGGAACGAGACCAAGAGTTACTGCTATGGTAGAAGTGACATGAAATGGCAGAGGTGATGAGGAATGAAACCAGGGGGTGAGGATTAGAGAGAGAAAGAGAGAGGGAGAAGGCATTTTGTGATATTATTTTATTTCCTGTACAATAAGGGACAGGAGGAACTGCAAGTCCAGAGAGAGAGAAAGAAAGAAGTTCCTTGGCCACTTTGGCATCTTTAGACACAGAAAGCTGCAGGGTTGTGTGGCAGGACAGCTGAAGGATAGCCTAGCCATGGCAGGAAGCCATGGGAAGAAAAAGGGCAGAAAGCATCGTTACTGCAATTACACTGGTCACCAGAAGTGATGCCAAAGTGGCTGTGTCATTCTGGGGTGGTTTGCAAACAGCTCTGGATGGAGCCAGAAAGTAAGAGCTGACTTCGCTTATCAGGCAAACCCAGGGTTGTCTCTGCACAGGCTGACAGGCAGCAATAATGTGCAATGGAAATTGCTGCAGCTGTACGTGTTGGGGGAACAAGAGTGGGGAACCACAAGGCAACAGAGTCACAGGGTTCAATTTGCTTGCTACAGGTAGTGTCTGCGAAGTCCTGGTGAACCAAATGAGGATGTTGTGGGGTGTCAGTAACAAGCGACAGGTGTGGTGTCCCACCAAGGACAGCTCTAGGTCCTGAGACTCAGTGTAAAGACTCAGTGCATCTGGCCTGTGATGGTTTTATCAGTGATTATAGTGTATCTAAAAACTAAATTAAGTTATGATTTGCACCTTTGAGAACATGGATATCCTTTAGGGTAACTCTCAGAAAAAATCTGGTGGGGACTTACCTGATCCTGGCTGACTAAAACTTCCCTGAAACTGTGGCTATGGGTTTAATTTAAGGTTAATGGATGATAATTGCAGATATTTCTACTCTATTTGCTGAACTTTACAGCCAATTTTTTCAGTTTTTTAAATGAGACGGATTTTCTTGTTTAAAGGTTTAGATTTTAGCAGCTCCTATGTGGGTATGGATTTGAGAGAACAAATGAATTAAATAACATTAAAAAAAAAACCCACAATCATCTAGCACTGACTGTGCCTTATCCTGTAGTGCTGTTTTCTCCTATTAAGGTTGATCTCATCTCAGAAGAATTTGTTTGTTCCTTCTTTCCCCTTCTTAGGGAAAAAAATTGAGGGTTACATAATAAAATTAATTTACAGCAGGTAATTTATTTTTCTGAGGAGACTTTTATACTCTCTTTCTCCTGCATAAGGTCTACATGTTGTCTTACAAAGTACAGACAATCCTTCAATTTCATTTTTAGGGGATCTTTATATAATATTGCCTATATTTACTGAGAATAATTCCATCTGGGGGAAGGAGGATGCAGTTCATTACTGAGAAGCTACGGACTTGAAGACAGGTTTGCCAATATACCCAACACTGTCAACAAGTGCTTTTGCATCTTCAACAAGCCACTCTATCCATCACTGACACAGTCTGAGAAGGGAAATGGTCATGTGAACTACTGTCTAAACCATGACAAAAGAGCAGTAGCAAATACTTTATGCTGGGGCTAAGCAGGAGTGATACTAAAAGGCTTCTTAGCCAAAGAAGAAGCCACAGAGAGACAGGATGGAAACCCATCTTCAGGTTTCACCCTTTCAGTGACGACAGTGGCACAGCCACTGTTTCCTTTAAGGGGTCCATTAAGTTATTCAGAGTGTGCAGGCACACACACAAAACAGCAATAGTATTTATCATGCCGCTTAAGCACTTATAATGTGCATTTGCAGCAGTGTAGCTACTGTAGGGACACAGAGTGAAAGGATTTCCTGTCCCTTGAAGTTCGTAGCACTGCCACGGGCAGTACAATCCTCGGATGCTGTGTCCTGAAATGCTGCGGCTGTCTGCTGCCCAGCTCAGCGTGTGCGCTAACTGACGGAGCGGTTCTCACCTCTTCTTTCCACACATGTTCTCCCTCTTAATTAATTCAGGTTTCTATCACATTCAGACCAAAGGAGCCAGAAATGACCAGTTATTAGTATGTGAGCTTAGCAAATAGTTATTTATTTGCTGGGCAATGAAAAGCAGAGCTGCACTGCCTGAGACAGCACTTACCTTAAAAGAGAGCTCTGACAGACAGACTCGAGAAAACTGTCACCATTTTTTCACAACAGGCTCACAAAACAAGATTAGACTAATTGATCTGATACTGCAAAACTGGCACAAAAACAATAGGGTTAAAACTGTCGTAAGTGGAAGAGAAGCTCTTTATCTCAATAAGCAGTCTACTCACAGAGCTGAGGGGTATCATCTCTTCTTGAGGCACACACAAGGGCCAGCATTAACCCTAATCACGTCTACAGGTGAATACCTCTAACTGCTCTGTGGGCGCTGAGTTCTGAGACAAGAGGCTGGTTTTCTGCCTAAAGCATTTTTCTCCTGTAGCTCTTGTGCCTATTTTGAAGTATCAGGTCAATTAGTCTAATCCTTCTTCATGTGATCATCATAAGAAGATGCTTCTTTCTAGTACAGTGTCACAGTAAGAGTGACACACTGTGGGTTGTTCTGTTTACAGTTCTTGAGGTTTCTAAAAGAAATCTGATCTTTGGCAAGAAATTGCTTCTCAGTGTGTTGGCATGAAAAGCTTTCTTTGGGGAATGGTGCACCCAAATTTTCAGATTTTTCAGATGTTCTAAAATTTTGTAAGGCATTGAGTAAATACAGACTTGCCATTTCATTCCACAAATCTGTAAGCACTTTCCAATGTACCAGTTTGTGTGTTTCCACTTAGAAGAAATAAAGAGATTTTGTCTCTCCATCTTTGCAATTTCACATTTGCAGTCAAAGCTGAAATACCAACATGTAGTATGTAATTCTGGTTTCCCGTGAGTAATGATATAATTTCTTCAATAATAAAATCACAGATTACTTTTACAGTTGGGAACTGAAGCCTTCCTTCTCTTGGCTTGGGGTCTAATTTGTGCTATTTGAACTAATGCCTGGGATAATATGTTAATGTGACAAAGCAGTGTGGAAGGGGTTTTGCCTTTTTTTTACCCCCGCCCCCCCCCAATTCCAAGCAATTGCAGCTCTAAGGAAGAAGACAAAGGATCCTTTCACACTACTCATAATGTAAGGCTTTTTTTCTTTTGAAGACTATAATTTGGCTTGCAGAGAATACAAAGGGGATAAAATAGGACCAAACTGACACCTGTAAGCTTTTAAGATGCTGAACGGAGATACCACACCAACTTTTGATGCTAAACGGATTGTATAGGAAACAAGATAAAAAAATCCATCTCTCAAGCTGATTTACGGTAGTATAGGTGTGACTTACAATTGGCAGCCTCTGTGTCAGCACTTACACTGCACCAGATGTGATTAATTCATGTTTCAAATGAGGAGGTAACTCTATGGACTATTCCATTAAAAAAAAGCAAGTAGTAAAATTAGGCATGAAACACATCTATATCAGCAGCAGGCTTTACAGCCTTCGGCACCACTTGCTTGAAAGCGTGTAAGAGTGTATTATTGTACACAGATGCCTGAGGCTAATGCAGATGCTGATGACCGTGCTGTATTAAAATCTCATACCTTGCAGCCTTCACATGTGATGACTCCATAGTGTATTCCGGAGGACTTATCACCACAAATTTTGCATGGTATCACTTCAATTTGCGCTGAAAAAGAAAAGAAGACAGATTCTGAATACATAGTTCTATTTAATTTCTTTCTTTCTCAAATGAAAATCTGAAAAACTAGAGCTAGACAGCAGATAACCTGTTCACTCCCCTGACAATATAAAACTACTTTGTATTGTACTGTGTGTTTCTGAATGCTTTGATTTGGCAAATTTTAATTGCTTCATATTATGTAGGTTCTACCATACCCCAGAAAACTCTTCAACAATTTAAGATAGCTGAGGATTTGCAAGTTTTTCCTCATATTCTCCTTTTTTTTTTACCTGTTAATTTCTTCATCATTATTGCTAATGACAGTGATTAGGGGTCCTAAATAGTTATCTAGATTGTTCTTGCTTCCATATTTGAAATATACAGAATTTTTCATTTTGATGATGTAGGAGTATATTTTGATGCATTCTTCAGAGCAGTACAGACATTTCCACATCCTTCAGATGCTTCAAGAGACACAACGATACCAATCCCACTGGCAGAGATGGTCTTGCCAACAATTGCTTAACTTCTCCTTCTCTTCAAGCTATTCGTTTCAGTGCCTTGTCACAGGCAGGCAAGCCCACAGACTGAGTTTAAGTAGCCAGTGGCAGTGTGCTGGGAGAGGTGGTTACTATCTGAAAACGTCAGAATATGGATAAGCTTCAGATCCTTTTATAAACAGAATGGTCATTTAATTCAGAGAAGGAAATGTATTTCACTATCTTCCGTATTTTTACTTTGGCTAAAATTGCTGTTTGCTTTCCTACTACCTTGAGTCCTGCGTGTATTTTCTCTGACGACGCATATACTCTGAAATGTGAGGAAGGACTGTGCTTTTATTCTAGTCAGATGCATTGAGAAGCAATGGAAAAACTATTTCCTTTCCCTTTAATTTGTTTTCATATGTGGGATATATGCTTCCCTGCAATAGTCCTGCCACTTGGAAGTAGCATTGTAAGGGTCAGTACTTCAGATGGATGTCTTTCCCTTATGCACAGGGTAACATTAGCATCAGTTCTCTGCAACACAGGACACGTCAAATCCTTCAGTAGCAAAGCTGCGAGCATTTGTAGTAGGGCTATCTTGAGCACAAGGATTGCTAACCATTAGTACTTTAACTAGAACCATTCATCTCCAAAATGGATTGGGAGACAGGGACACAAGATTATTCTCCAGACACTTATCCTAAGAAAAGTATCCCATTTCAAACCCATGGGCAGTCAAACAGGTTATAAATGCTGGAGAAAAGGATACTTAAAAATGACAGCACACTGTAAGCTAAGCACTGAGCAAGCACACTTGTACAGTAAATGCTGTGAAAACGTAATGATGTAGTCTCAATTTTGCTCTTTTTCTACCTATGGTTATCATCTATCGCTCTTAGCATGAAGAAAGAGTTCCCTGAGTTACTTTCCTATCCCTATGTGGTTAAACCAAAACTCAGTACTGTGTATCACACAGCTATCACACTTCCCACTGAAAGATTCATTGCATCCCCTACTCCCCTAGCTTCCTACTTAAGGTAAAGGCTTATCAAGGCACACTCCACCAGGTGAACGCTAGCAGGCCCTCTTCTCTGGAAATTCCATAACTATTCCCTTGGGACACTGTATCCCAAAGCAAACAGGGAAGACAGATATTCATGGATGGCTTAAGAGACTTTAGTTCCCATTGTGAGCTCAGTTTCCTGAGATGCTGTTTCTATCGACACATCTTTAGGCAAAGTATAGGCAAGCAAACCAGTTTTTAAACTGCTCCTAACCCAGCATGGATAGAATTCATTTTATTTTAGGAAAGAGCAATTTGTTGTCTACATGTTCTGGATGGAAACAACCCAGAACCAAAATATCGCCTGTCTTTCCACTTAAGAAATCCATATCTGGAGATAAAATATCCTATGTCATTCACAATTTTTGGGTTAGCTTCTGTTTCCCATTTTTTTTTCATGAACTAGGTGGTAGTCATACTGGCATGACAAATTCACAAAAAAGAAGGCTTTTTCTTACAGAAAAGCATCTGCAATTGCTTGGCAATATTGTCAGGTTGATCCTGCTCAATAATTCCTATGCCTTATCCCCACTGAGATAATTAAAACATTTAAACATACACCTCCAGGTACTGCTGTTTGAGAGACTATTTGGGTAATTGCTCACAGGTCTCTGCTTGAGAGTCATATGGAGGGAGCAAGGCTCAGCTCTGGGACGATATACTGCTTTATGCTGACAAGCCTCATCATAGACGTATGTCAATGTCAGAGGCAGGAACTACAGTGGGAATGTGAGGAGATTCTTAGGAAAAGACAAGGCAAAGGAAGAAAAAAACCCCAAAACAATATGATGGTACTTTTAATGTGACTTGCATATACAGTTTGTATCTGCAATAGGAACAGAGACGGAGGAGTTGATCCTGTGACACTCGTTGCATTTAGCACAGTATTTGTTACTGTGAGCAATCAGTAATTCCATGCATGAATTGCAATTATAAGCACTACATTCATGGTAAATATTTGTGGACTAGGTCACTGAATGCCAAGGCTATGGGTTTCAGTTAATATGAAATAAACACTTTAGACCTGCAACGCACCAGTTAATTCAAACCCGTATTCAAAACTAACCATTCTATAAATTAGTAAATACACAATGTCTAGGAAATAGCTAGATGGCTATTAGAGAGCTCCTTAGAGAGCTGACAAAAAAGGCAGCATCTTTAGGGACACAGAATGCATTTGAAGAAGTTTGGAAAAGTAGACTGTGCTACTGTATCCTAGGCATTTCCTTTTGTTCATAAGACAGCAGAACAATTTAAGGATTCGTAACAGAAAGCTTGAGTCATTAATTGTACAGGCCAGATGAAAAGGAAGCCACCGTATTCCCAGAATCCTCTTGAATTACTGTAATTAACACCCAGTGTACCAGGTTTCTTTTGCAGATTTAATGATTGTCCAAGGCTACTACACCTTTTTCACACCGTATCTTTGTTCAGCCACCTATAATTTTGTGCTGTTTTTCTTCTTACCTTCTCCTCTTAGACCAACAAACAGTTTAGGGACATATATATCCTACCCCAATTTACAGCTATCATAAAATATTCAGCTCGCTTCTGAATTCCTCACCAGTATAAAAAGCATTGATTCAGTACTGCTTACTGAATATTGAGGCAAAAAATGGAATGAACTAGTAACAGTGGAGTTGCCCTAATGATAACTTTCAACAGCACAGGAATAGAACTTACCTTCTCCCAGCGTAATGAACATAGGAAGGAATAAGAGCAAAACTACTTATTTCCACTTTTAAAGTCCTTTCACTTGCCTCCTTGCCCATCAACTTTAATAATGTGAATAAGAATAATGGCTCCTGCCTCTTTTCGAGAAATAACACAGGTCTCAAATGTCCATTTGTTCAATTTTTCAACAAGCATGTTCAGTTTTCATCCTGTCTTGAGTCGTACCACTACGATAAAAACCACCGCCACCCTGATATCTAACAAAACATTTATAAGGTTTGGATAAATGCTGCACTGTGGTTGCTCCTTATCACCAACTGTAGCTTCTCTCTCAGTACCCTCAGTAACAGAAGGGTTACTGTCTCTCTGCAGTAGTCATCGCTTGTTTTATACTTAAGTTTAAAGTCATTTTGGGCTGGGAACTGCCTCTAATTTTACATGGCACCCTACAAATTAGAATGCCGCAATGGAAATTAATTAATTCTACATGACTAGTAATAATAATCCAAAGATGCTGGGTTGACCACCTGGAACCTTATTCATTCTCTCAGGACACCAGGAAGAAGGGTGCAATTTCATTAAAGATGCAAATAAAAAATCATCTCACAGATTTAAAATGAACACCTGAATAAAAACAAATATGTACTTAAAATCATATTCAAGCCAAGCATTAGCTATTTTCTCAAATGCTGCCCCAAGAGAAATAAAATAGTACACCGAGCTGCTTTTTTTACTCTCTTTTTTTTTTTCTTTTTATCAGCAAAAAATTTACTCACAGGCATAAAATTCATTATCCTAAAAGTAGGGCAATTATCAAGTTTCAAGAATTGTTATGTTGGTGAAAGTAGGAATAAATCTGGAAGGAGATACATGGTTAATTCACTGAATTCCTTTTGAAACAAAGATAAGAGTCAACAAGGCAGCTAATGTGTCCATTGTGTATTTGTAAGGACTGCCACTCACGTGCAGATGCTGTCTAACAAAAAAAAAGCAAAGCTCACATTTTATATAATCTCAGTTTAACATCTGAGGAACTTTATTCGGGAGAGACAGGAGTATAATCTCTCAGACCTGTAGTTTTGGTTCCAAGGGGAAAAAAAGGCTCGAGCTTTCAATATTTAGTTCTTGATCAAAAGAGGATACTAAAGCATGCTGGGCATGAACTTTGAAGAGGAAGTCCTCTCTCTAATTTGTTGATCCAAGAGGGATTGCACTTGGAAACATCAAGGCTAATCAGAGAACTGATAGCAAAAAAAGCACCTCCTTCACCTTCCAAGAATTCCCATCATTCTTATGCTGGAGTTCTTTGAAAAATGTTATTAGATTGGTCCGGTTCACTTTCATGTTTGTATCCCTAAGTGATTTCAAATTAAGCATATTCAGCATTTTTATCTAGTTGTCAACTCCGCTCTTTTTATCCTGATGTGTGTGAGCAAGACATGCTTTTCTCTTTATGCGTTACCATCAATAGAAGTTTTCACTGTAAGTTAGGCTGCCAACTAAATCTTGATGCCCCCTTTGCCACTGGATTAGATATTCTGTGGCTTCACAGCAAGACTTCGGGTGCTTTGCATTTGTATTTAATAATCTGAAAATATACAGCTGAACATACCAGTTATGTTTTCAGCTTCTGTCGTACATCATGCAGTGAGAGCTACATAGTTAGCAATATCTCAGCAAACGAATTACTGCCAGCTAATGTTAATTAATGTGTCTGTAGATACATTTGCTGTCATCCATACCCCAAATGAGCCATTAGAGTAAGCAGATATGATGGAATTTTC